ATCTTGCTTCCTTCTCATCTCTGTTTAAGAGTTGCACCGATCGGGCACTCGCCAGAAAATGGCATCGGGTAAAGAAAAATATTTTTTATTTATTTTATTTTATTTTTTTTTATATCTGACGTGCAAGTGAGCATTTCAATGCAACAGTTTAGTTGGGTGGCGTTAGAGGATGTAGGCGAAACTCCAGCTATGTATTTACTGCAAAGTCTGTTGCAAGTTTGAAAGCAAGGGGTATAAAACGGGGTTGTATTTCAAAAGCTTCAAGTTAAGGAAAAGCAAGCAGATTTGCCTGATTGGGCAAGTGACAATAACATTAATGTTGAACCCTGCTTTGTGTGTGCAGTATTTGAAGAACTTTTATCAGAACACAACATGGACCACTTTCATGGCAGAGATTGTTACTTGTCATAGCAGGAAAAGCACAGGTGTAATTAGAGCTTTGATTTTACCAGCCTAATCAAAACCCAAGGTGTAATAAACAATGTACTAATAAACTGTTCAAATGAGCCAGAATGCACAAAGCAGAGAGCGGAAATGAAACTACATGGAATGCAGTGGTTAATAATGCTATCAGTTACACCTGTGCTTATAAGGAACACAGCAGCGCCATCACCAACCCAGTTCAACAAAAGCAGGTCACCTTGGGGACAGTGAAGGGCCTAATAGATAAATACTTTATTTATCCCTGGAGGAAAATTCACACTCACATTTGTTGCATATTATTGGAGTAATTCCACATACTGCATTATTCTAGTAAATGTCTATTAACAGCAAATGAAGGCCAGTCACATATAGACAGGGCCCCATTACTAAAGGTCTCAGTTGAACATTGACAGGGGGTTGTCATGTCCACATAAGCCATAACAAAGCATCCTTACACGCTGAAGGAAGAACACATTTTGCTGACTCATGTTGACAAAGAAGGCTTTTCTGTGCGAAGCAGCAGAGTGCTTTCATCTGCCTGCATCTAAAATGATAACTTGATACAGACATGATGCGATAGGCCTGTCTCTCACCCATAGGGAGGCTTCCAGCATGGAGGAGGAGAGGAGGGGGGGGCTATTCAAAGAGCAGAAAAACAACTAGGGGCTTTACAGCTCTGCTGACGCTGAGCCTCCCATTAGGGTGCACTGATAAAGGGAACCAGCAGGAGGCGCCTTCTTCCCAGACGCCTGGAGGGGTGAGTCATCCAACAGGCCCGACCCTCTTGTCATGTGACTACGCTCTGCTGAAACACTGACCCACACTCCTCTGCTCTCTCTCCCTCTCTGTCCTCCCCGCCTTGCACACTGGCTCAGCCGCCCAGTCAGACGCAGAGCCGGAGACAGAAGAGCCGGAGAACAGGAGGAGGAACAGGCCCTCCTGTGCCCCGTTCACACTCACTGAGGAGAGGATTTGGCTTATAGCAAGGTCATACCCGGGGGAAGTACACGCAAATATGTTACCTCACAAACAGCAGGCTGATCACATTCACTACAATACATGTCTAAAAAAAGCAAACGCCTCTCTTACGCAACAAAAATAACCCCTAACATTCAAACCTTGGCTGGGTTACTAATACCGAGCAACAGGATGCATGACATTTCTATAGTGGTCCCCTGGCTACAGAGAATGCGGCCCTTGCACTCCAGCACCAAGGCAACCACAGCAAGGCTGGGGACTTCCAATAATGTCAAGGTCAGTTCAGCCATGATCACTGTCAAATGGAGAATGTCAGCCCCATCCAGCTGGATACACACACTGGTAGGTAGCAACAAGAAATGTCAGCCCCACACACACACACACAGACACAGGATGGTAGATCCTGGTTATTCAACTCTTCTTCTTTAAGCATGACTCATTAAATAAATCAAGAAGAGAACAGTATGAAAGGGGGCATGAAGGGTTAACACAAATTTGTAACATACTTAGACAAACTTGGTGCCCCATCCAGAGCCTTTTCAAAAACCACTGGCTGATTATTATCCCTGTGGATGATCGCTGCCTTACAAAAATAGCCACCTCTCTCCTACCTAATTCACAAAAGGGAGTCACTATTTGGGCCTCTTCCAAAAGAACCAGACGGGGAACCAGGGAGGTAAATTCCATACGAAGAAGGAAAGCCTTTCTTTACCTCCCTCCCTCCTCCTCCTCC